TCGACTTTTCCTCGAAAACGAAGCCTCAAATCCAAAAATTGTATTCTACATTCTTTTCTTATTATATTTCCTTTTTTTTTTTCTATCGCGAAGAATCATCCCCTGCCCGCTTGTTGCACACATTATTCCGACGCGCTCTGTATAAAAATATCTTACAATAAGATGAACGACTTCTACAGTAGATCAATTCAAGTAGACCTGATAAACTCGAATTTCCCGAAAACGAAAAATTTCATTCTTTCTTTTTCAACTGAATCCCACTTGTCTTCAAACACCCTGTATAACCGAGTGACGAATATCGGTAAAGTGGGCCGCTCCGAAGTAAGTGTATTTAACGCGCTATCTCTTGAACAAATTTGGTCCTGTTCGCGTACCAAGACCGAACTCGGATTGTCATTTGTTCAACTGGAATTCGACGAACAAACGTTGAATTAGTCAGTTAGATGGGTGGGTATCAGTAAACAAATTTAGAAATGGATTCTGCATCGAACTTCGTTACCACTAAATGCATATAAGTAAGCATGTAACGGTAAGGGATCGATTCTCAGAAACGTCGGAATCTCGGAACTCCTCGAAATCCAAGAAAGTTCCGAGTTTCGGGAATTCGGGAAACCTCGTACTTCTTTCCTGATTTCGAAACTTTTCGAAACTCTTCGAAACTCCGATAAGAGAAAGTATGAGATCAATGTACAAAGAATCGTTTGCAACGTGAATAAAGAATATTTGACATCACGATAATTTGTATCGTATGATTATATATTTCGAACGTACGGCACGAGATGCTTTTATTTTTTGAGGATCACAAGCAGATCGCACGCGATCGTAATTTTTATATGATAACGTGAAGTGTCCAAATTAAATGATAAAAAAAAAACAGAAAGATGTCTTATTATCATTAATAATATACTCTGAAAGACTTTTCGGCAAAAAAAGGAAGAAATCGATTAAATCTAGAAATATGTGTAATTTCTCCTATAAAATAATCCTGTAATAAAAAAATCCTATAAAATAAAGGTACAATAAAAATAATCCTATAAAATAAAGCCAATACTTCAAATTTCGGGAGTTTCGAGTTTGAGTATCGAGAGTTTAAAAATTATTACTATTAGCAACAAATAAGAGAAACGAATACGGAAGAACATCAAAGGTGCGTCAAAGATTTATTACCATAATAAATAATATCACGATAGGAAAATGTAGATCGTGTTTTCCAAATAATCCAAAATATTTATTGCGTTTCTTCTACATCTTGAATGAATTTGAGTATCAACGAACAAATTTAGAAACAGGTTCTGCATCGAACCTCGCTGTCACTAAGTACATAAGTCATATGTAACAGTAACAAATGTGGACGCAATGTGGACCTTAAGAATTTACTGTTGGGAGTTGCCAGATTGTAGACGAATTGCCCCACGCGGAGACAGACTGTATTTGCCTAATTTGGCAGTGGTCAGAGGATAATGCGACGTTTACAATTGAAAAAAAAGAAGATTCGTCCCAGGAGAGAAAACATTCGTCACGAACATCAAAAATATACGATACGCGAATACCAGAAGAAGAATTCAGAAAAATAAAAAATGTTAAATCTGACAACAAACATTATTATACTATGTGCGAGACTTGTTAAAAAGTATACGTATATTTATATAACAAATATATTAAAAAGTACATGTATATATAAATAACAAATATTTTAATAAAATATATTTTCAAGCCTTACGTTCCTTTGGCTCTTATTGTTAGTCATTTGCAACAAGAAAATCAAACTTCTGTGACTAGAACTACTGACGATAAAGATGATAATGATGAAATTGAATGATATAAAATTCTAATTATTTTTGTAGAATTTTTTATAATATTTAATAATCTAATTAGTAAAATTATTGAAAATTCATAAATAATTCATTTTATTGTAAAATTATTAATTATTATTAATAAAATTATACATAAATATAATAAAAAAAAGTTAAATTTTATTATTTTATTTATTTAATAATAAATAATATGTATATATATATTTAATTTAAAAAATTAATATAATAAATAATTATATACAAATTTTTCAATTTGTCGTTAGGGTATGAACCTAAAAGCTTATATTAGCTTATTATATAACATTAAATGTCTGATAAAAGAATTAATTTTTTAAATTAAAATATAATAATAAATATTATTTCTAATGATTAGATTTAATTATATTATCTATTAATTAATTCATCAACATTTACAAATTAATTCATCTGAAAACTGCTTTTGCACAATGAAATCATAGCCGAGATAATCGCTAATCAATGAAAGAGAATGAAAAGACGCGCGAGAATTGAAGATCGGTTGGACGTTATCAAAAAAAGAAATACCTACGAGTTTCGTTTAAAAGGCTTCGTCGGTCGTTGGATGGACGATAGGTGAACGAGGTTTGATCGGATAAGTCGGACACGAAAGGTCGAGTAGCATGTAACAGAATGGTGAATCTGATTGTGGACAGTTAATAGGACGCAATTAGTAACGCGATCCCGGTTAAGTGGCTCTCAGAAGCGATGGACCCGCCCGCGCTATCCGCCGGTTTGATAATATCGAAATTTAATATTCCACTGATCTAATCAAGATCTGATCTAGATTTAACCCGGGCTTTAATCCGCAACTTGACGCAAACTCGCTCCGTTGGGACGAGGCAACGCGCGTTAACGAACGCTGAACGCGTATACATAAGGGAAAGTCAGGGGTGGGAGGGCCATCGCGAAATCCAGACTTAAGAGACAACCGTTAGGCTACTTAGCCGTTTACCCGATCTCTCCCCGCGTATTTCCTGCGCACTTAATCTAAGCGAAACCAGATTACACAGCGACAATTCACAGTTAAATCGATTCCACGCAGCACACGAACTCTGATCAGCCATCCCGTTTTCTACGCTCCACATGCACGAGTAATGCGAACACCGGGTCACCTCAAATGGTTCCTGGCTGCTTACGTACCAGCTGTAGCGACTAAGCACGCGACAAGTCGTCCTTGCCCCGTTACGACTCACGACTCCACATAAATCCTGTCCAATCGTTTCCATACCCACGCGCGATCTAGGATCGGACACGCTTCGGCAACGTGTCCTTTGTCGCTGCTCTCAGCCATCAACTCGAAATCGTTCTAACGAAACCGGTCGCGTTCCTCGAGAGAAAATCAAGCTCGATCCTCGCAGGCTGCTACACGACCGCCTTGAGATCGTATTTTTGTCAATTGCGGGACCGGTAGAGTATTTTATTTATTTATCAATATTACTGATTTTTTGTTCGGTAACATGTCCTCCTTGCTAAATGTCACGCGCGTGCAGAAAGGAGTAACGGGACGGTTGGAGTAATGAAAAAATCCGCGGCAACAAAGGAGGAAAACTCGTTCTTTCGTAATCCAGCCTGCGTGAAACGTCCGATCCTTCGTCGTACTTTCGCTGGCTCGAGTAGCTCGCGAAGATGTGTACGAACACACGTTCGCACGAGTGCAAACTCAATTGCCAAACCGATTTCTTACCGCTGGCAAGACTAACGGGCCAAGGCCAAGGGGATGAAAAAGCGACGAGTGCATCTCGCTTGGTTATGCACCGCGAATGAAGACGATTAACCGACAAAAATTGTGATTCGTTCATAACGTATTCATACCGCCTTCAAGGATGGTTAAGTTGTATCTTGACTCGCAAATTAACGACTGGTTACAGTATCACGCAAAAGATCTTTCTCGCATTGCTCTTTGGATCCCGTGTCATTGAAAAATACTCGAAAGCGAAATACATTATACTCGTTTAAGTTCACTTTCTATCCACGAACTACTTACTAATTGTACTTAATACCAGATGTTTAGTGCAAAACATGATTTGACCGCTTTTCGAGAACATGTTTTTGTATGCATCATCTGCCAAACGATTCATTTACGAAGCTACACTTCAAATAAAATCAGACAGAACTAATCATTCAAATGGTATTTAATAAGAAATTTCGTTTTCTTGTGATATCGTTTAAAGTTAAAGTTAAATCATCAACGTGCATTGCCGGTTTGCTGGAGCAAGTATAATACACATGGTTTCAATCTCTGGAAAAACAATGTCCTCCGCCACTGTTTAAACTTTCGTAAGAAGCAATAGGAAGGAATAATTTATGCAAATTACTATTCCAATGAGTGTCAATTGACTCTGGACTGTCTAGAAACTTCTTCCTCTGAAATTTTTTGTTCTTTTCAACGTCGTTATTATAGCTTTCTGTAATATACTACGTCGCATCATACAACACCGAATGTATAGGTCCGTTATAATTATAAAAGGCAAATTATAAAAAGTTGGCTAGATTTAACTCCTTGCGCTGGCAACAAATTGCGGACCATAACGAGTGACCAAAACTGTATATAAGAATTCATCGCTTTCTTTTTGAACTCGTCGGTATGATATCACTGGATAGAAATTATTGAGAAGTAATAAAGTCATTATACTTAAATATACTTGAAACTGAGAAGATATTGCAATTTTGGGACAAAAAAAATTCTTGCGCTGGCAACTGATTGCGGACCGTAACGAGTGACCAAAACCGTATACAACAATTCGTCGCTTTCTTTTTGAACTCGTCGGTATGATATCACTGGATAGAAATTANTTGAGAAGTAATAAATTCATTATACTTAAATATACTTAAAACTGAGAAGATATTGCAATTTTGGGACAAAAAATTTTCGACGTGCGTAGCAAGAGGTCAAGTCCGCTCAGAAGGGAAAATCGAGTGCAAATATTAACTAATTCTTCTCTTACCGCGAAATTTCTCGAATCGAGATTCAAAACGCGAGATTTTTTATCCATCTTTCCTTACAACAAGAAGAAAGCGTACCCCTTTCGGCCGATCATTTTTGAGAAAACCTTCAAACGACAAAGAGCAACGAGGGAGCCGATTCCTCTCGACGTTAAGTCCTGTCCCTCAACTGAAATGGTCGACGGCTCGATGGCGAATGCTCGCGGAGCGCGCGCCGCTCTTTTAAACAGCCGTAACGTCGATAATTACGGAATCGGTGTCAACGCCGCCCATAAGGCAGCGCGCGTAACATAAATCCCCATGACGCAACCTTGCGTCGCTGCAACGCGACAACGTCGAAGCGAGAACGCTTCCTAACGCCTTTCACTCTCACTCAAATAAATTTCACCGCGGCTCTTTTCTCGTTTTCTTTTTTTTTTTTTTTTTTTTCCTCTCCTAGACGCCCGATTCGCCGTTCGCGTAACAAATGCGACGAACGCCTCGCCGTAACGCACAATGCTCAACAATCCCGGCGAGAGAAAATAACTTTCACGGATCGTCGAGCGTGATCCAGCTGTCGGTCAAACAATTTCGAGCGGCATTTGTTGTTTCTAAATTAAATTCATTACAACGTTTTACAAAAGCTGTGCAGCAACGGCACGCCCGAGCGCGTCGTCGATTCGGACGCCGATTGCAGGATGAATGCAAATATGCACGGCGCTTTTGCATTGATTCGGCGGCGACGAATCACTCGGCTCGGCACCCGGCCGGATAATCCGGCCTCGAATTAATCGATGATTTTTAAATCGCCGCGCAATTAACCTTATCGTTGATTAAAATGCCAACGGGCGAGTCAAAGCGACTGGAATCGTACGTTCGGTGAAACGGTGACTGCGTTAATTTCCAACTGTCAATGAGAGCGCCGCGCAAGGTCCTCTAATTAGGGTCGGATTAAAACCACGACCACCGGAGACCGAATCGTAAACGGGCAGGACAAGCTCGTTGATTGGGCTTGGAGCTCGAATCAACAATTTCTTATCTCTCGTAGCCAGGGCGCACGAAACGCGCGATTTTTCTCCCGGAAAACGCTGACCAGCATCCCGAATTTTCCGAAGAGAATATTCCTGAGAGAATTTCATTCGCCATTGTTCGTGCACGTTGGCCGTCTTCAATCCCATATTTCCATCGATAAATCGCCAAAGAGATTGGTGGCATCGATTGTCAACGAGAGTGTTCGTTCATCGACCGGGATTAGAGAATGACCGGAATATAGTTATTATAAAAAATTTGATTTTTAGATAATTAATTTTAATTTTGATAAAATTTAATAAAATTTGATTTCTAGATAATTAATTCTTAGATTATTAATTTGAAATAAAAAATATTAAATTAAAATTTAATAAAATTTATTAAATAAATATTAATTTTATTAAATTTTATTAAATTAAAATTTAATAAAATTTTTAGATTATTAATCTGAAATAAAAATATTAAATTAAAATTTAATAAAATTTGATTTTTAGATAATTAATTTTTAGATAATTTGAAAGAGGATTTAATAGTAAATTAATTTAATTATTTTTATTGAATTAAGTATTAATAGGTGTAAAAATTTGCCCTGATAGGAACAAGTCGTATAAATAATAAAAGTATTTTTAGATAAAAATTGGAAAGTATTTTTAGATAAAAATTTTAGTTTATATAAAATTATTTATTTACATTAAACCGGATCAAATTTATTTAAAAATTTTATTTAATATTTAATAACGTGGCGGAACTAGGAATCAAAAATTCCAGCAAAACGATGATCCGATTTGGACGAATGTCGATGGGACATTTTTTTTTTTTTTTTTTTTTCACTGCGCGAATCCGATCTACGGAATGGAAACTAACGTGTCAATGTTTGAACGAGCATTACGAAGAACAAAGTAAATAGGAGGATACGGTCAGAAACGAAGGTTTCGGGGCTCGCGTTAGTCAACGCAGAGAGCCTCGGTACGTGTCGACGAAATAAAATCGTTTCAGTTTCAGACTGAGAAAGAGAGAGGATTCGCGGTCTAATTTCATTCAGAACCGCGGCGAATGCACGCGCGGGAACGAACACCGACTGGTAAAAGGTGGCAGTTTCCGGTTCCGTGTGCGTGTCAAGCGGATTTTATACGGTGACGTATTCGATAATCGTGAACGTGAAACATTCGAACCGGTTGGATTGGTTATCAATTTTGATAACCAGAGTCTAGAGTCGCCGTGATGAAGGCCCGACAATTTTCTTTCGAGAGGTCTTGAACCGCTGAGGAACGAGAAATATTCACGGCGGTTCGTTCTCCTTACGTGCGGCAAGACACGTCGGAATTTTGCGAAAACAAACGGTGGGAACGGATCACGGTGGATACGTGTCCCGAATTTAAGTGAGCGTGGTTTTCTCTCAAATTGGACCCGGTACCTGTAGCGTAGTTTCGCGGAAACGACGTTCGATAAGCGGCGCGCAGATAATCTTCTTCTGCCATCTGCGATAACCGGAGCAGACGTACGCGTGACAATTTAATGGGGTGCGGAAGACGTTCAGCCTCCTTGCAGTTATGGCGTTAAATGGTTTTGCACCGGTGTTAATCGCTTCCGACGATCCTCCAACGTATGTTCGAATTACATTCTCTCGCGTTATACGTATGTATATAACAAGGACAAACCATTAGATTTTCCGCCTGACGATCGCGAGGATACATTTGCGTGCATTTTCTACGATTTTGCGCTTGGCAAATAGCGATCTGACTTTTCAAGTATCGTGACGTCCAAGTCACACGATATTCTTCCACGAATAGAAGCGAAAGAAACGCAATAAATATGATAAGAGACACGCATATGTAACACGTGCACGGCGAGTAAAAATACGAGTCGCGTTAAATTTATATTTGAACTAGTGGCGAAGATTAATCAGATGCTATTGAAGGAGACTATGGAATAAAAAGAAATTCTGGATAATGCCGATGGGACGAGGAGAGGATAGAGAGGGAAGAGGAAAAAAAGTAGCGCTTACCTTCATGTTTGCAGCTCGTGTCGTGCAGGAAACCGAAGTTAAGCGTGACTGACGCTGGCTTCGCTGCCGATCGAGTGTTTTATACCCAACCGTATGCCCAGCCTCCGAATTCGTCCGATCGGTTTTACTCCTCCGGAGGGTCGCTCAGTCTCGGGATGACGTCGAGAATGACGAAACGAAAGGCAAACGCAGTCGACAATCACTTCCGAGAATCACGATCACACGTACTAGTTAATGAACAATATTATTTTGACACACGTTTGGCTAATTGTGTTTCTCAGAAAAATTGTTTGTTTCAAGCATACGTCACTCCGACGCGATGATTTCCCAGGGACAGCGTTTTTTTCTCGGTCAAAGATGGATAAAAATCTCTCATCTACTTTCCAAAAAAAACCGTTTCGTCGTTTCGTCATCCTTGTTCGTGAAAAATAAACGATCTAGTTCTGCAACAAAAAGAGAATGTGTTACACGTGAGAAACGTTGGTTCCTGATTTCTGTATATTATGCAACAAACGACAATGTGTCAATGCGACATCGTGCTAATGCACAAATAGTGCTAACAATCGCTGGAAAATCGACCGCGTAACCACCAGGTTGAGATTTCTTTGAAGAAAGAAATGAAAAAAGAAAAAAAGAAAAACAGGAAAATATGTATCGCAGGCTTTTCCGAAGTTCGCGTTACGAAACGAAGAAAGGAACGTGGCTTTCAATATTTACGAGTTATTTACACAGAGGCTAACGTGTAACGCAACTTAAAACTCGTTGCGAAACTCTGCCAGCCCGGAGAAGAATTCCGGCCCTTTTCGAACGCTTTCGTGCGATTAAACGCAAATATTGGTAAACCGGTTTCATAAATTATCCTGTAGCTGTAGGTTTCGAATTTTCCAGACTAATGCTTCGCCGTGTTTTATTGCAAAGTTTGGTAAACGTAGCGAGCCCCCCTTCCTCCTGATGTGCGTGGTGTTACTGAAGTTTCAGTAACAATATTATCAGAAGAAACACATTGTTTTACCTTCCAGGATCGTGTAATTACGACTAACAGTTTCTTACGGAAGCACTAATTTTCAGTAGAGGGGAGAGAGAGAGAGAGAGAGATTCAAACGTGCCAATTAATACAACGAAATAATTATACAGTGGAGTGTAAAGCGATTTCAATCCAGTGAGCTTGGTAATGAAATTAATATACAGAGCCTATGACAAACAACACGATACGTACTTGCGCACGTTTGCTTCCTTTTTTATCCCGTATATTAAAGGATAGAATGTACTCGTTCTTCGGGAAGAATATTCGAATTGGCGACAAAAATGAAAATAATTAATTAATACTCGATAGAAAGCATACGTTGCGTTGCGCAAAAGGAAGATAACGTGTCATTGTTATTAGTAGAAAAGGCTTTTCAAAGAACTCGTCGCGAGAGAAGCATCACACAAAGAGAATCCGAAATTTCTGCAGTCCATTGTAATATTCTCCAAACATTATGAAAATAATATTAATATTAAAGTAGAGATAAAGGATATTTCGTGCTTGAGTACTCAATGTGTCACAGAAATCTTGCCGATGAAAGATAATTAAATTTGCGTTTTGCTTCTGCCGATCATGGATAACTGCGTGGTTAAAATTAAACTTATCGATCATGCGCGCCATTCTAAAAATTCAATTGGAATGACCGTTCCAGCGAAATAATCTGAGAGTCGGCCCGCACGCGTAAGAAATTCCGAGTAATTTTCATTCGCGAGGATTTGCAAGCAATTTGCGCGCTCGTTTAGATGAAAATGTTTGATCTCGAAGCGATTAATTGGAGAAGATGGTTATAACGCGTTTAGAGTGCCAATTAGCAAAATACATTTTCTAACGTTTCAACGGTGTAAATTCGTTTCGCTCCGTAACGAAATAAGTTTTGGATCAGCATCTGCGTTCAGTCATTGAATTTCACAAGTCAATTTCTATTTAATCGAACAAAATATCGCGTATCCGTAATATAAATTGTTTTCAACAGACACTTTGAACAAGTGTTCGCTCTACGAGTGATTAACTCATACATACAGATTCGTCCGCATATTTCATAAATATTCAAGATATTCTAGGTAAGATGTGGTCGGAAATTATTATTCAATCATTTGTATTTCACCGGCACACAATTTTCGTAAAATAAACGCGGCGTATTGAAACGGCTGGGAGCGTGGCGTTCTGTTCAAAGGTCAGGAAATTTTTACCGAGAGTAAAAAAGATCGACTGACGTGGTAACGTCGAACGAACAGGAGGATATTTAAAAGTGTTCAACGCTCCAAAGTCACTCTCGTCTCGCTTGTTTTTACATTTCGTTTCGCACACACACACATACACGCTTGCGTTATTAAAGCCGCTTGAGTACCGCGCTTTGAATTTGTACATGGAATATTCCATGCAAAATCGTCCGGCGTCGTGTTCTCGTTCGCTTTGAATTTATTATAACTTCGCCCTGTCCGAACTGTACCGAGACGTCCATCGTCCTTGTCCGAACAGAAATCCGATTGGTCGATTGCTCCTGTAAACGCAAATAACAATAAGATAAGATTTTTGCCGATTTGTCGGTCAGGTCGTCCATTGTCCTCCGCGCTGATTCATTTGACGTTTGCAATTACGCGATTGCCCTTTAATTACCCGGTCAACGCGTAAATAATTTACGGACAATGGACGTTATCAACGAACACGAAATCGGGTAATTGACGTTGCCAATTGTCCTCTGCTAATTGTTATTAATCGCCGCTGCGGAAATTTCCGCACGGACACCGGGGATTGAAGACTTCCGGTAAAGAACAATCGGAGCTCGATTCCAATCGCAGCCATTCTTTTCGACGTTCGATTCGATTTCCAACGTGCACGATCGTGCACGTGCAAGAACTCAGGCTCTCGCATTAAGGAGGAGTATGAAGTGAGTGTTTTTTTTTAATCCTAACTTTGTTAGAGAACTATTATACCTTTTGATCCTAGCAGAAGAGGGTGATGCGGAAGCCGTGGCCTGGCTCAGAAAAATTGAGAAGAAACAGGAGAGAAAAAGAAACAGAAAGCTAAATATAGAGACACAGTAATAAAGTAAAGTAGCAAACCAAAGTATAGTACCAAAGAGAAATATTGTAGAGGCAGTGTGCAAATATCATTCTCTATTAGTCTAATTAGTCTGCGTATAGTATAAAGATAGGTTAAAGCATGCAATACTAGATGTAAGGGATTAAAACGGAAAACAAAATGTAAAGAATAATGTAAAGCACTGAGGTCTATTTCTAGGCCGAAAGGCTGAAATAAAGATTCATTCATTCATTCATTCATTCATTCAACTATTATACCTTTGCAGTCAAATTCACAAGGTTCATTTGTACGTATTTCAACGACGTTTTAAAATTTTTCGGAACAAAAGAACTTAAAATTGGCACTGCATACTCTCAAGAATGGAGAAATACTCTCGTCTCACGGTGTGCATGATTCCGGCCATTTTACTCGTGAAAGTTCCTTAATTAATATGAATTTGGCTATAGCAGGTACCAGAACAAAAGAAGAAAATCGGTAATTAAAAAAGTGGCGATACTTTGAAATTCGATTATCGATTTTTTCATGTTTTTGTTAAATTTCGGAGGCCTGAAAAATATGAAAAATAAAAATTTTTGGTTGATTTTGGTAGGTAGCTATAGTCACGCATGTACTAAATGCGTACTTAAAATTTTGAGTCAATTGGTCAAGTAGATTTTGAGATATCATGGACACCATTCTGAAAAACATAGTTTCCAGAGAAATGCCTTTAAAGTTCAGCATTGCGGTAACAATGACGCTGATCGTCGCGTCCTTCAAACAACCATAAGTTCGTTAATTTTAAGAGTTCCCATGTAAGGTCACAGAGACCTGTATTTTCGAAACTATATCCCTTAAGAATATGCCGAAAAAGAGAAATCGATTTTTTTCGAAAGTTCACACTAGAATACCTTTAAAATCTCAACGTACAGAATATCTCTCGAATGTTTAATTGATCGAAATTGTTTCAGATTATTATTCCGGTTTCATTTTCTCTCGAGGAGAAAAAAAATGTAATTTACGATTGCCGGCTATTACGCGCTGTGGAAGAAAATGATTCAAGTGTTTAAATAACACTTGTTCTTTGCACCCTGTGTGACGTTATTTACATAGCGGTGGCATGCAAATTATTTTTCGGAATTTATGAGCATGCGTGCACCGGCGACTGCTGTTCCAGCCGAGACATTGGACGATGACGAAGCCACCTTCCCCGCGAGATTTCACCGAAATTACTCGGGCAAACTTTTTAATCCCTTCGCAACGGGCGCATCGTTCAAAAGCAGCGAAGATAAAGGAATTTAAATTACCAGTGCAACGGGCTCGCGATCGCGTTACGTACGACACATTTCCATAAAAATTAGAAAAGTTAATGACGGAACATCCGCTTGACCGATGATCAACGGCCACGTCGCGCCAAGTCGATCTAAAAATCGATTCCTCGACGGGGAGAGGAGTCTCGAGAATTATGTTGAATTTTTATCCTCAACAGAGATAGCAAAAAGAGAAGAAGTTCACAGTTTCGAGTGAAATTTACAATTCACGAAATTCGAGGTTTTCGTCCTGCCGCGCATTATCTCTTGAAAGCTGTTGTATTAAATCGCAGGCCGGGCAACTTATAGATAAGAAGTTCGCTTAAAGCTCCCTAACTCGTAGCTGCTTGTACTTTTTCCGAACGCGGCGTTATATCTCGCGTCGAGATGTAAATTCGTTTGCCGTAAAACCACGAGTAAAATTGGTATACTCGAAATCGAGAAGTTCTGGCTCTCCGCTTCGGGATTAAATAAGAACTCCATTTGAAACTTAGACTCTCACTACAACTCTTAAAGTGCAGCGGCCTTCCTTTTTTTTTTTTATAGAAAACATCGGACCAACCTTAAACGAATCGAAAGACCACGAAGCGAGGCAAGCCCTCTTCCCCGAGTTGAAGTTTCTTTAATTTTCATAGATATTTCTATGTGGGAAGCCAGAGTGCCATTTCTTTTCTTTTTTCTTTTTTTTTTTTTTTATTTCATTCAACTTGTTCTCTTGACGTTCACGCTTGAGAAGCGTATCCTCAATTTCAAGATGTCAGAACAAATTAAAACACGAACCTAACTTCGTATCGCATTATCTTC